AACCACTGAGCCACCTGGGCATCCCAAGATAGGACAATATCTTAGTGTCCCTTTTCCTTCTTGATCTGCCGAATCTTATGTAGGCCATTTTTATTTTAGAGAGTTTAAAAGCAAACCTTTTTGGGAAACAGGTGGAAACACTTTCCTGTCTGAACCTGAATATTCTTTTCCTGAACTTCAGACAATTTTTTCCTGATTCTGGTTATCTCCATTACTATATCCAGGACTATCTTTGGCACCAGTACTTGGAAACTTTATGCTTTCCCACAGGTTGTTTTATAAAAATGTTAATTAGCTTATTTATCTATATCTTCTTATTTCAAAATCTAGTGTCAGAGATACCTCTAGGCCACAAGACATTTAGAGATCTATAATGATGCACATAGCTTGATCCTAATGAGTACCCAGACTAACTCAATAAGAGTGCTAACGTGACCTTTTAACACCTCTACAGATTGGAATGCTTCAAACCTCAGACCATGGGCCTCTTTCTCTTTCAACTTTTATTGATTGAGTGAAAATTTTTTTTTCCTCATGGCTCTAGAGAGATCAGTGTGCTGTCAGGGTTGCATTCTGTTAAGGCCCCTCACCCTGGCTTATAGACAGCAGTCTTCTTACTATATCGTTATATGGCCTTTCCTCTGTTTGTGGACATGGAGGGGGAGAGAGAGGGAGAAAGAGCGAACTTTCTGCTTTATCTTCCTCCTCTCACGAGGATATGAGTCAGAGTGGATTGTGGCCCCAACCATATGACCTCTCTAACTCATTTTTTAAGGACAGCTTATCCAGTTCCATGACTTTAAACACTACCTTTATATTCTTGATGACTCCTAAATATATATCTCCAGCCCTTAAATCACCCTAAGCTTCAGACTCATTTCTAGTTGTCTACTCAATATCTCTACTCATATATCCACAGACACGATAAACTAACATGTTCAAAACCAAACTTTTGATTCCCCCTAAATATGTATTTCTTTGAGTCTTGCCTATCTCATTAAATCCACTTGCTCAGCCCAGATATTTTTGAGTTTTTCTCTTGTATGCCATATCCAGTCCTTCTGCAGGTCCTGGTTGATTCCCTCTAAAATATGTCTCAAATCTGTCCACATATCATTTCCTCTAGCATTGCCATTCTATCCAAGCCATTATCGTCTCTCACCTGGACCACTGCAATAGCCTCCTAATAGTCTCCTAGCTTCTACTTTTGCCCATACCCCTCTTTAAAACATAAATTAGATTATAATTCTCTGCTGCTTAAAATCCAGTAATTTCTCATCAACCTAACCTGGCCCTATAGCTACCTCTTTGATTCCATCCTCTATGAATATATATCACTGTCACTCATTTCCCCTTAGCTACTTTGCCCTAGCTTTCTTCAGTCATTCCAGGCACATTCTGACCTTAGAGTTTTTGCATTTGCAGTTCTCTGCCTCGATTCCCTTTCTCCAAATAATGCTATGATTTGTTCAATAACTTCATTTGGGACTGTACTCAAATGTCATTTCCTTAGAGAGGTTTTTTTTTTCTTTATTAGTCATTCTCCTAAAAACAGCATTCTCCTAAAATCCCCATCCTTACTGTGCTTTATTTTTCTCTGTAGTTCTTTTTTTTTTATTTATGATAGAGAGAGAGAGAGAGAGAGGCAGAGACACAGGCAGAGGGAGAAGCAGGCTCCATGCACCGGGAGCCTGATGTGGGATTCGATCCCGGTCTCCAGGATCGCGCCCTGGGCCAAAGGCAGGCGCCAAACCGCTGCGCCACCCAGGGATCCCTTCTCTGTAGTTCTTATTGCCATCTGACATTATACCAAAGTTCTTTGACTGTACCTTGTGTCTACATGAGAATGCAAGCTCCCTGAGGTGAGGGAGGGCAAGGGCTTTGTTATGTTCACTGCTGTTGTCTTCAGTACCTAGAATAGGGCCTGGCTTTTACAAAATGCTAAATATATATTTGTGGAATGAGTGAATTGAATATAAGGATAAGTGGCTGCACGTATCCTTTGAACAAAGATTCTGAAGGAATGCTGAAACTCAGTGGGCAGGATTCACAGTTCCCAAATCATTGCTCCTATCTCCATGTGGTATCTACTGCAGCACGCATGCTTTCTTTCTTACTGTACCTTGACACTTACCCTTCGAATCCTTTCTAGCTTAAGTCCACCTTTTACTTACTCTCACAGGTTGCACTTTATATCTCCATCCCACAAGACTGGTCTTTTAGAATTACCTTTCTGAGATAGCAAATGCTCAAACATAGAAACAGCAGTTACTATTAGGAGATGAGGGTTAGTTCATGATGCTGGTGCCTAAGAGCAGAAAATAAGGAGTAAGAAATTTGGGACTTGGACAAATTAAATTCTGCAGTTCTGGAGGAACTTGCACATATCTTGGAAACAATATCCTTATGAAATCATAGCAACTGGGGAAGGTGACAAAAGGATAGTACTGGTGACAACTCACCTGGAGTCTAGTGTACCCTATTTAGTATTGAGTCCAGTCTGGGCACAAGATTTTTAGAAAGACAAAAATAGGTGTTCAGAGATGGCAAAGAGTATAGTGAATACACATCATACGAGTATTGGTCGAATAATAATAATTGCAAACATTTACTATGTGCTAGGCATTCTAAATACTGTTTGTAAAAAGTTATTTAATGCTCATCCTATGATGTAGATGTTACTCTATCTTTTTGGATGAGGAAATGAAGTTACAGAGAAGTTAAGTAACTCCACAAGGTCCCATAGCTAGTAAGAGGTAGAACCAATGCTGATTTCATTCCGATTTCAGAGTCCATGCTTAACACTGTTACTATCTTTTAATATTTTAATATATGCTATTGAAAAATTCAGGTTATTATGGAAGTTCTTGGAAGGCAGTATTTTTACCTCAGCTCAAGTGTCACCATCTCCCTATTCGATATCCCTAGTCTCCCCAGTATGTACTCCTATAATAGGACCAGCAGTAGCACTTTATTACACTTATTTGCTTGTATCTCTGCCCCTCTCAACCTGCCTTTAACCTATTTTGAGGATAATATTTTATTCTCTTTTGAGCCATTAAACTTAGTTTAGTGCTTGCCATATAATCAACATTCAGTTTTTGTTGAATGAAAAAAATGAATGATCTCTAAATCAATTAGTAAGATAATGAACTCCTAATCACTGGATGTATTCAAGCATGGACTGAATACTTGAGGGATGGTTGAAGGGATGCTGCAGAAGGAACTTCCATATTTGTGGAAGATTAGACTAAGTTTCTTTCTGACCATGAATAATCTGATCCTATAATGAGTTAAATTATGATTTTTTTTCTTCAAACATTTCATTAGCACCTAGTGTATGCCTGGTATTGTTTTAGACATTGAAGAAACAAAGATAAAAGTTGCCTAGCCAGTATCCATAAAGAGCTGGTAGTCAGTGGATAATTAAGAAAAGAGATGCTCAAGATTATAGATGTAAAGTTTTAGTAGATAAAAATAAATAGAAAAGGAACAGATCTTAGACATGTTTTGAATAAATGGGGGAGGGGGAAAAAAGCTGTGACATAGGGGGGAACTAGGTATGAAAGATGACCCTAAAACTGCCTGCCTGAGAAGGGAGAATTTAAAGTAAAGACCATGTGCTATGTTATGGGGGAATTTCCCAAAGGGAAATATCAGTGTTAGCCATCAAAGTGTATTGCAGGGCTGGATGTAATTCAGTAGGGATTAATTTGTGAATATTTTGAAATTCTTGGAACAAATGTTCTTATTAGTTTCCCAAATGAATAAAAATGATCACATCTTCATGCCGTCTGCCTCCTTTAGGGGCTTTGACATTAAATGGACAATCTATTAAGTCATGTGGGACACTTCAGTTTCTTTTCCTATTCATATGCCTGGAATCTGTTGTGCAGTGGGGAAGTAATAGTCTTTCTTTATATTAGCCTGGTCCCTCTTGCTGCTCATCCTTCACACATGTCTAAATATGTCTTGACACAGAATCATCCTTTCTAGCTGGGACATGATGCCTAGGTAGGTGGGGAATTCCCCTGTTTTGTTTAAAATCATAGTTGTCTTTGAGTTTGGCTAGCATGTTGATAATTAGTTTACTGACAATTGGTTTTTTTCTTTTTATACCATATGCTATTGCATGATTCATCTGCCTTGAGTCTGTTGCCTTGAAGGTGAAACAATTTCTTCCAATGTTGATATTTCATAATCTCATAGATAACAAGCATACGCATATGCATAGTCCTTTCAGAAGTTTTAAACATTTGGAGATGAATGAATTATGTTGCCACAAATGGAAAGGAGCAGTATAACATCATAATGGTGATATCCAGTCATCTTTTCTTGGGTGGTTGGATGAACACTGGTATTGGTAAAGCCCAGCTATTTTACTATGTGTATCTCTTTTTGAGAAATTGTTTGTGGTATGTATTATTTATTCATGAATTTTATAGTTTGACATTTTACTTTAGTTGCCTAGATTTACATGTATTTTAATATAAACTGACAAGATCTTTGTTTGTAGAAGTGGGGTTTAAATTCCAAATAAATTGTAGCGTTCACTGTTTATAGTCTAATGTAGCATCTTTTTATATTTGGTGTATAGCAAACCTTCAGAAATCTCTTAATTTGACATAAATAGTAATCTTTCGAAATACTTTAATAGAACATAGTAGATTTCTGAATGCAATGCAAAACAGTTACTTCTACATGGGTGCTTTTTAAGTGTTTTGATGATTAGACTACTGATAATCATGGACTAAATTCAGTTTCTGCACAAAGCTTTATTCACTGCATTTATTGTGTGGCATCATTTAGTCACCTGTATCTTTTAACTCAGAATGGCAGTGATTGTTTCTGATGAAGAAAAACTCTTTATAATTTCATGGTGTAGATGCCTATGTATATATATCTTTATAATTTATATATTTGAAGAGAGATTTTTTTTTAAAAGACTCTAATTCTCAGTATATCTCCTCTCCCCCTCTGACTCCTTTACCTGGTTTTAGCTCCTCTTTGGTTCAGGTGTGCTGGTGTCCTTAAGCCTCTCTGGGCCACAGCTGGAGAAAGTGGTGATTGACAGAAGCCTGGTGGGGAAGCTCATCTCTGACTCCATCAGTGATGGTAATTACCCCCATGTGCAAATCAATTGCCTACATAAACAGTGGTGCAGGAGAAATAGTGTGTCAACAGGTACACTAATTATTACCACTGGGGACTTGCAAACACAAGTAATCGCTTATAATAGCATAGTTACAACCCCTGGGACCAATACAGGTTTTGACTAATATTTAATACCAAAATTTTGTCAAGCACTGGGCTCATATTCTGAGTATTTTTCACTTTTTCATTTAAAAAATGTGAACATATTTTCAAAACAGGGTGGGGTTTTTTGTGTGTGTTCTTTCAAAATTAATCCCCTATTGACATTTCAAATATTTTTCACTTTCAAATGAATTTTGAATGAATGACCCAAACATGTCAATACAGGCACCAATAAAAAAAAAAATCTGTAATTTGCTAGTAGGAAGATCCTTTGTTACCAAAATCTATGAATACTAACTTTTGAGAAAATTTAGGCAATATTTCTAAATATCAAAAACCAATGCCAAATATACTAGATAAAGCTGGATCCTTTTAAGTGTACCATAATCAGTATATAATTGCTACAAAGCACATAATCAAGGGGTACCTGGGTGGTATAGTTGGTAGGATGTCTAACTTTAGGTTTCGGCTTGGGTTGTGAGTTCAAGGTCAGACATCAAGCCCGGTGTCAAGCCCTGTGTTGAGCTCCATGCTTGGCACAGAGTCAGAGTTAGCTTGGATTTCTCTCTTCCTCTCCCATTGTCCCTCTCCCACCCTCACCCTCCCGTGCACATGTGGGTATGCACTCTCTCCCTTCCTCAAATAAATAACTCTTTAAAAAAACACATGAAAAAATATTTTAAACCAGTTATTAAAAAGGTAGGATACTGACATTTATTGAGCCCTAAAAGGCTCTAAGATCCATGTCAACCTACTTATTTAACCAAAAAAGCGTTATATGGTATAGTTATTTCTATTTTATAAATAAAGAAATTGAAGCTAAGACACTAAGGAACATGCCCACAAATGAGATACTAAGGAACAGCTCGAAAATAACACAACTGAGATTGTAACCCAGGTTCTAGCTGTAGAGCCCATTTTCTTTCTGCTATACTGTGCTGATTCCTGAGGTTTTTAAGGTCATATTCTTTTATTGAAGGTAAAAAGGTTTAAGAAACAAGTGGCATTATCATTAGTGATTGAAAATTCTCTTTATCCTAACTGAATAATCAAAACAAAGTGTGAGCTAGTGGACAGAGGTGAGAATACAGAAACCTTCCTTCTGCCATGTGCTCTCACTAGCTACCTCTGAATAAATTGGACACAATTTCATCATCCTCCAGAAAAGCACTTTGCAGGATGGCTATAATTAGCAACATTCATGACAATAATAAGCTGGGGATGGGATTGTAAGTATGCCATTTCTTCTTCCTTACAGGAACATGGTGTCAAGGAAGCTTCCTATGGAAGAGTTTCCGTTTTCATATGTGTAATAATTGACCCCTCTGTTCACACTGCAAACAAAATAGTGGCTGTGATGATTTTGTCGTGTTGATGCTCCTCTCTAAGAATTAAAAGGAGATTTCCAACACTATTCATGTCTTTGAGATATCTCTTTTTACTTGTTTCTTTTATTTATACCCAAAATAATACACTCTCATGAGACCATGATAACAATGTGATTTCTTGGCAGTTCTCCAGATTCTCCTGTAATTGTGTAGATATACTCTTCGTTGCTGCTTGCATAGCCAGGGGTATGGAAGTAAAGAAAAATATATGAAACAAATCCCTATTATACTAAGTTTTTATCAATAATATTTATAACATTAATAGCCCTTTATGTAACTCATGAATTTTAATTGTCTACCTACTTGTGTGCATTAGAAATAAAGCTGTAGAAATATTTTTGCTAATCTTCATTACTAGATATTAACTTATGTGATGTGCATATTGAGCGTAATACCCTTTATTTCATTCAGCTTGTATTCATTGATGAAAGAAGGTTCACTGATGAGAAATTTAAAAATATAAAACATACAGGGATGCCTGGATGACTTGTCAGTTAAGCATCTGACTTTTGCTTGGGTCATGATCTCAGAGTCTTGGATTGGAGCCCTGTGTTGTGCTCCCTGCTTAGTGGGGAGTCTGCTTCTCTCCCCTTTCCCCATCCCCTGCTTGTGTGCATGTGCACTCACAAATGAATGAATGAATGAATGAATGAATAAAATTGGTGGAAAACATTGATCTGTATTCCCTAAAAAATGAATTTATTCTCACGTGGTTTATATCATGTAAATACAGGATTAAAGGCTAAGTACAAATAAAAGTAAATCTTTACATTCAGATATGAAATAATCTTTAATTTATGCTTTTCTAGCTCTAGTTCCAAATGTATCTCACTTGGTTATTGTCCCCAAACATCAGTGTATCATAAAATGGTCTTAGGAAAAAAGGAAAAAAGTATCAAATCCATGCATGACTAAATTTATGATTATTGTTTCTGATATATTTAATATCCTTGTAAAATAATGATATTTAGGAGACTAGTTATTTCAATTGTTATTTATCTTATGAGAATAACTTTTCATAATATTTTGGTGAAAACATTTCTCAATTCATTATTTTATTCTAATTTAGTATTTTATGATATCAAATCTGTATTTGTTTTTTAGCTCTTCTCACAGACAGTTTCATCATCCTATCATTTTTGGCACAAAACAAACTATGTTTTATTCAGTTTACCAAGAAGATGGGTTCTCCTGATACAAACAAAAGACTGGAAAAACTCTCAGCTTTGGATTATAAGGTAGAGATTTCAATTTATAGAGTTGTATTATTAATTATTAAGGCATACTAGAGTATCACATTGATTGATATTATACTCATTATTCTTGAATATTTCTAGATTTCAGACAAACCAGAGTTAATTATATGATTATGGTTGTTTCAATGAAAATATTGGCTTTCCCACCTTTTCTTGTTTACTCTCATCATGAGAGTCTAATAATGGCATGTTTGGAGCAATTTATGTAGTATTTTTGGAAATCAAAGATAGATAATAAAGACAAGTCACACATTTGAAAATGGTTTTCTTGCTAAGGGCAGTATATATACTATTCTCATTTTTCTGTAAGACCTCATATCACCTTTCTAGGCAAAGATAGCTTGGCTATCCTTCTGGCTTCCGTTTCACAAGAAAAGAAAGAAGAAAGAAGGCACTTCCAGAGGTTAATAAAAAAGTGTAATAAACAAGGGAGTGGGAAGACCCCTCACCCCCCACATACACATACACCCAACTATAAATAGAGAAAAATGCAAAACAAAATCTCCTTCATATGTTTATATCTCTCCCTTCACTAACTCCAGGTAATTTGTTTCCTTGTATCAGGGATTTTACATCTGTTAAGGCAGGATTTTTATTTTAAATGATGTGTTTCATATAAGTTTTGCCACATTACATTTTAACTGCTTGGAAGGCACACACTCTGCTAGGATGAGTATCTAATACATTTTCCAGGCTGTTTCAGTTCAAGGCCTCTTTTCAGCAATGACTTGTGTTTGCAAGATTGATCCAGCCTCTGTGACGTGGATTTGAGACAGTTCACTGTTCACTGGGAACAGAGCTGATATACAGCTTCCTTAAAAAAGATGCACACTTATGCCATACGCAGAGTATCTATCCATAATACGGGCAAAGATTTTTAGAAGTCAGCTTTGTGGCTTGAAACTTTGTGTGTGTTTCTGAAAAAGTAGTATTCAGGCTAACCTTTTGCCCTTTGGGATTATTTCTTACTGTGATTGAGGTGGTAGTGGTATGGGGAGGATTTAAATTTATTTGGTAGAAACATCTAGTCTTGTAAAAAGATTTTCAACATGGGATAAAGTATATTAAATGAGTTTTTCATTCTGGTAATAAACTGTAATTTGGTTCTATTTGCCAACTTTATGGAGCTTCCATTACATTTTGTATAATATTGATTTTCTTTAATTGAAGTCAGTGGTACTCATATATTATATTTTGATTAGTAAAAAAAAAACTGATCTTAGCATTCTTAATGGGATATTATTTTCCAGGTTGGCCAGCTGTAGATTTATTTGAAATGTTGCTTATTTACAAATACTGGTCTTTAAAATACACCAATATGTAAAAGATAAATAAATTAATGAAATGCTCCAATATGCATTAACTCAAACTTTTTATGTTTTCAATGCTATTATGTCAAATTTTATATGATGTTTTTTCAACTTAGGTATAATGGATAGCTTAATAGTCTTCTTAGCTGAAGGATAGTAGCTGCCCATTAATGAGATCAGAGGGAAACTGTCAGAATGTCATCTTTTCTTACGAGAAGGTGTGAAAAATAGACTTACTATATGGACTCTTCACTTTAAAAGAATTGTTTATTCTTTCTGCCTTTGTGTTTGAGAACAGGGGCACTCTACATCATTTCTATACATTGGAGAAGTGACCTACTTCCCTTTGGAAAAGCCCAAGGATTTCTTTCTGGTTCAGTATTTAAAATATAGGTATTTAAAAACTTAGTAAAAACTGCCATTTGTCTTTTGGAAGGATAATTTAAGAAACTTGTTCACTTTACTTGCCCTGTTGACCATCATGATAGAATACTAATGCCATTAAAAACTCACAGGAAATAGGAAATTTCAGTTAACATGCATGGTTTGCACTATGAGGAATGAAAGTGTCAGTCTCTTAACTCTATTTTCTCATCTAGAAATTCGTAAGTAACATGTTTACATGGCAATAGGACATCAAATAATGTATATTTATTTGTAAGGACTTAGCAATTCCATTATGGTACTTATCTCAAGAAGATAAGTAGTTATAATAGTGATATTGGGAGCATAAATATGAGAATTTGCACTTCAAAGCCTAAAGTACATCTGTATTGTCTGTCATTGCCCATTTGGATTTTAAAACAAAGAAATAGTGTAGAATATTATAATTCTGCTTTTCTTTACAGCTGTACCATAATTTAATTCTTTCAGAATGAAATAATTTTGGCAAAGAAAATTGCAGGGTAAATATCAAAAACGATTGACCTTTAACAAGTTTTCCAGTCTACATTTTAAAAATCCAATTCAATTTATTTAACAGGGAAGGGACAGTGCAAGGAGTTAAATGTTTACCATGAGAGAACAACACTGGTAATTACTTTGATTTCAGTTCCTTTTGATGTGCATTCAGAGGATGAAGAGGTCAATAATATTATGGCCATGCAAATAGAAAAGGGTTCCTTTTGACCATATTAAAAAAAATAGCAGAGGATTATTAAAGCATTAACCTTGATTTTAATGGCCTTGGTTGAGTGGTGAGATCACAATTTGGATGAGCCTGATTATTTACTAAATACAATACATAAATGCAACGGGTTCTTAACACCCATTGCACTCTGGCATTATCGCATTACTGCCATCCTTTGTTGCCTTGCAGACAGGAATATGAAAGCAATCTGTCATGTAGTGAGACTGGCTCCAGAAGCATTTCTCTGATAAGAAGACCCCCTGCCCTTTGCTAGTGTCTGGTCCAGTAGGCTTAGCCATGCGCTTAATCCCCAGAAAGTGGTTCGATTATTGCTGACCAGCAATGGCAAGATAGTTTTTTTTTTTCCTTCCAAGCTATCAACCTTCCATTAATTCCTTAAGCAGAAATACGGTGCAATCTATATTTCCTTGGCATGTGTCACCCAGATGGTGCCGTGCTTATGTTTTCAAATAACCATGTTCCAAAATAACATAGTTTGAATAATAAATTCTACAAATCCTTCCTAAGAAAGAGAAGCATAATTCTCAGAAGCTGCATAAACTTTTACGCATGATGCTATGGCTTATCCCTTTATGCAGAATATATGTGTATATGTCTCATATATTCTTTAAAGTGATGTTTCCTCAAGTTGTTTTTCCTTTTATTGTTGTCAGTCATTGTTAAAGTGTTATGTCTTAAACAGTAGTGAGATACTCTTGGTCAGCAGTACTGAACTTGTCATTTAATATAGCTGGTCTTAAATCCTATGTGTAGGTCGATGCTGTCAGGCAGCCATGACTGTACATTTTGGTATTGATTGGGATTGCTACAGCCAATTCCTCCCTAACTCACATTTCTCCTTTTCCTTTCCTCTGCTAAAAATGGGGAGAATTTTGAACATATGTCTTTTTTATATATGTGTCAAAAGAATTTGGTAAATTCTGACACCTCCTTAAGCACATGTTTAACATGCATATTTACTTGCATTTATCTACATTTACAGATGCTTTAATTTTTGTAATACTGTGAGGATTTTGCATTAAAAAATGATTCTCATATGCTTTTTTTCCTTGATCATTAGATTTCCTATTACGAGATACCAGGCCCAGTAAACAGAACAACAGAGCGTCGTCTAGCTATCAATTGTGTTCAGGATATAGTTGTTTGCTGGTGGCCATTGGTCAGTGATGATGCTTGGCCTTGGGCCCCCATTTCTCCTGAGAAGGACAGAGCCAATCTGCTGCTCCTAGGTTATGCTCAAGGAAGACTGGAGGTAAATATAAAGCAAATATATACATTTTGTTGAAGAGCAAATAAAATAGGATTATTAGTTTTTCTATTCTGAAATAAGGATGAATACTTTGTTAAGCCTAGAATTTATTTTTCTAAATTCTCAAAGAAAGAAATTATGAATAAAAGTGGGGGTTCTTAAAAGTATCATATCTATAGGGTAAACAGACAATTCCAGGGCTGGCCTGAATCTCACAATGATTTAAGAACACAGCCTTCTGGGTTCAAATCCTAGCTATGCCACTACCTAGCTCTCTGTCCTTGAGCAAGGTATTAACCTCTGTGCACTGTGCTTTCATTATTTGAAAAATAGAGTTAATGAAGATAAGTATGTTAATATATTCATTTAGAGCAATACCTACATATAGTAAACTCTCAAATATGGACCACTGTTGTGATTCTTATTATCGTTATTAGTACTGTCATTATTGTTTGCCCATACTTTCCAGCCTGCCAAAGCCATGTTATCAATCACCTTCTTTATACTTCAGTCATTGAATCAGCAGTCAAGTGCTTATTTTGTGGAAGACTGTGGTGCCAAACCATGGCTGAGGCAAGAATTTATAAGGACGGCTGTAGAGCAATGGCCTTCTCAGTCTAGAATTGTGCCTCAAACAGAAACACTACAAGGGTTAATCTAGGAGGCAATGACAGTAGTTCACTCCACCTATTCCTGACAGTGGTTCCAGCATCATTCATTATGTTGGTAATTTCACCTTGGACCAGTACTTTGAGTATGGAATTCTGTTTTTATAATTTAAAACAAAAGCAACCTTCCTGTTTCTTCAAGTTTTTGCCTGAGTAAAATATAGATAGTCCCAGATTATACATGGTTTGACTTAGGATTTTTGACTTTGCCATGATGTGGAGGCAGTTCATGTTCAGTAGAAGCCATACTTTAGAATTTTGATCTTTTTCAAAGATCAAAAGATCTTTTTCGTCTATGATAGGTGATAGGATACTTTCCCATGATGCTGGGCAGTGGCAGTCAGCCACAACTTCCAGTTAGCCAGGCAATCATGAAGATAAACAACCGATACCCTTATAACCATTCTGTATGCATACAATCATTCTGATTTTTGTTTTCAGTACACTATTTGATAAATTGTATGAGATATTCAGTAATTTATTATAAAATAGTCTTTGTGTTAAGTGATTTTGCCCAACTAGTATAGGCTAATTTAAATTTCTGAGCATGTTTAAGCTAGGTGAGGCTAAGCTGTGATGTCCGGTAGGTTAGGTGTATTAAATGCATTTTCAACTTGTGACGGGTGTATTGGGATTTAAGGCAAGTAAGACAGTGGTATGTTTCTATGCTTCCTCTAAATCTATTATCTATTGGGCTTTAATTCTGAGATATAATGAACAAGTCCAGGTTTTTTCTATCTCTACCTGCCTCTTCTGGTGTTACAAACTTTCAGGCTGCCTTTTAAGACTGCAGAGTCATTTATAATTAATTAATTAACCCTTTTCTGGAACTTTTCCAATTTTGTTGTAGTAACTAAAACCACTTATAATGCTTTAAGTGTGGATTTGTGAGGCTAAGAAGTGCTTTGTTCCTATTCACTTGCTTTTCATGCCCACTGCTTTCTTGATCTTGGGTTCAGAAGCTAATTGAGTAAAAGACTTCATCAAAATGATTGTAATAAAGCTAATTAGAATTCTATTAAATATTCTGCCTTATAATAAAGGTAAAAATAATTTAGTTATACTTTACATAAATTACCTGTATTTGAAATGAGCGTATTACACGAAATTAGCAGTGTTCTAAAGGGTATGCATATGGTCTACATACCTTATCTCCTAGTGTCATCTAGATCATGGACTTTGGAGTTGGACAAACCTAGTTTACCTGTTGGTTGGACCATATACATACTAACTGTGTAAACTTAGTCAAATTTACTCCCTCTAAGCTTCTGCCTGCTGTTAGCTAATTCTGTGTTCTTTGCCCTTAGGTAGATCATCCATCCTCTGACATTAGTTTTCTATTTTTAAGATGATGGATTTCAACCAGAGAGGTTACCTCCAGATCTGTGACAGCTCTATAAGGTGCTCATCTGGATTCTGAAGCACAGATCTTATTTAGCCAGTGCTTGCTCAAATGCCTTTATTAGATATGAAACTAAACTTAGCCTCAGCACTGACAGCCCACCCTGACTGGCCCTGACCTACCCTTCCAGCGTTATTTCCTTATACAAAACTATGTTTGTAGCCAAGTGGTTAACTCACCGCTTCTTATTTTCCATGTCCTGCCTGTACACATTACTGACATTTCTACCTGAAAGGCCCTTCCTTCTGTTTCCACATCATTCAACAACTATTGAGCGTGACCGTGGAGTAAACACTGTATTTCATTTCAGGGGATATGAATACAAAAATATCCCTTCCTGCAGGGATCCTGGTGTCCACCAATGAGAGACAAATATGAAAACGTGTAAGTGCACTAAAGCATTAAATGATGCTGTGGATAGAGTGTGTGTAAGCTATCCTAGGAGCCAGTGGGGAATGATTGATTCTACTTAGGGAGATAGTAAGGAGGAAACATTAAAGAGGCTTTACAATTTGCTCAAATATGAGATTGGCAAACAAATTACTTGCTTTTACTATCCTTTCTAAGTTTGTATGAAGGTTGTACTAGCCCTCTAGAGTGATTTGGCTAGCTTTTTCTGTATCTCCTCTTTGAACCCAAAAGATTTATCTGGTATTTGAGCATTTGGTAAAATCTATAAAACTGCCTGGGTGTGGTGTCTTAAAGGAAGGTAGATTTTTTAAAGAACAGATTCCATTTTTAAGGGCTGCTTTTTTCCCAGGAATTCTGGGGGATTTTTTTGAAGTCATTTTCTTTAATTTGTATTTCTGGAAAATTACCCATTTTGTGTAAGTGTTTTTGAATAGATTTCATAAAGTTGTATATGATACTTGCACATGATTTTTAGTTATTCACCACTGATTGCATAGTTAATGCCCCCCTTTTCAATCCTACTATATTAAGATACAGAAATTTCTTTCTTTTTTTTTTTTTTTTTTAGCAAATGTAGCTTTTTCTTGGATTTGGCCCTTTCAGTCATTCTATCAAAGTTAAACTGTTGAAAAAATTTGTGAAGATTACTTTTACAGAACCTCATGTGAACTTACATATGCAAAAGGTGAACGTCTTTGGAAGAAATCTCTAGGAAAATAATTGTTTCTTTTTTCACATGTGAAGACATAATTTTTAGCTATGAATTAGTTGTAATACGTTTTTTAGAATATGAACAAAAACCACTAGTCTATAAAAGTAATATTCAGGCATATGTCTTTAAATTTTTTTCACTGGCCACCAATAGTCTTCTTGAACTAATCATCAGAATAAAAGATACAATAAACTCTTAAACTCTAAAATTCAAAGTAAAAAAGTAGCAACCTCATAGATAAGAAATTTAATCTTTGTATCTGTTAAACTATAGAATTTTAAAAAAGCGTTTCCCATCCAAATTAAATCAGAAAATATAATAAGCTTTTAGTTGGAAAGTGACAAGATTCTAGAGTAGTGGTTCCTAGCCTTTGCAACACAACACATTACTGTCACTTGCAGAGGTTTTATAAATGGGCCCACTCAAACCAGGTACATCAGAATATCCAGAAGGAGAGGGGGGCACCGGTATTCTTTAACAGGTTCCCTAGATGATTCTCATGTGCATTCAAGTTGAGAAACACTGCTTTATAGCAAACTGAAAAAAAAAAAAATTAGAGCCATCATTTTTGCATAACAGACCATGGAAAGGATAAAGCCCACCTACTGAACCAAATGAGAGTTTTAACAATAGATTCTAAGTAGAAAATTGGCTTACCAAGCAGCTAAAAAAAAAAGAAAACAAAGGAAACACAGAAATAAGCTTTCTGTGACTGAATTATCTGTCTTTCAGAGGAAGAACATATTTTAAATTTATTTTATGGGTATTAGAAAACTCCTGGTCTAATTTCACACCGCAGAGCTATAAACAACAGCACATATCTTAATTAGAAGCATAAAGCAGAGAGTTATGTAGTCTAGGAAAAAATTTCTTTTGAAAAATATACAATAGTGTGTACAAAAAATTTTTTATCAGTAAATTCATTTAAAAACAGTTTTTAATGGTGTATGTGTGGATTATTATATATAACACGGTAATTATTTTTATTTAAATTCCACATACTCTTTATGCTTTGCTTTTTGGAAAGTTATTACCATTTAATTCATTCGCTTTGTCAAAAATGTGATGACAACACAACTTTTTTCTTTACCTTTGTATTTGAGCAAGTATTTTAGCTTTTCAGCTGCATGGATTAGATGAAGCTTTCTGAGTATAGTGGTAATTTCAAGAGATTCTTCAGAAGAGGTCACCTGAATTCGTTTATGGAATTAATCAAAAACAAATAAGCAGAGCTATTAAACCTTAAAAACTGTTGTCAGGCATAGGAAAATATAACCCCATAAGGATAACTTTTTTCATATAAAATTTAAAAACCATTTTTGCAGTGATTTAGAGGATCAGCGACTAATGGAAAAGTAAAGATATGACCAACTTTTAATATAGCATAATTTGATTAAAGAAGCATTTAGAAGTTCTTATAAATGCATTCAACTGAAAAGCCAAAATACTTAAGAAACATCGCTTCCAAAGAAATGTATGTACTATGTTAGCTTTCAACCAAATATCAAAGATTTTATACTCTAGGGATGATAGCTTTTTAAAAAATCTCTTTATTATAAAACACTCATAAAGAAAACCACATGAAATAACTGTATAGTTTAATAAGCTATTACAAAGGAAATACCCCCAGAACCACACTCAGGTCAAGATGAGGAACTTTGCCAGACACCCAGAAATACTGTTTTGTACTGTCATGATTCCAACCCCTGCCTTGTCCCCAAAGGTAACCTCTATCATGACTTTCCATCACTTTCTTGTATACCCATATAGTTTTTATCATCCTAATACATCTCCCCACAACGCAGTTTAA